CGGGCTTGCCACCGCAGCTGCCGGCGCTTGGTTAGGCCAGGGGGTTAGGGTTAGGGCTAGGGGGGGAAGGGTACGGACCTCCGCGGCGGGTTTAGGGTTATTTACGTCTATAGCATCCCAGGACTATTGAGTGTGTGTGTATGTTTTATGTTTCGAAAGCTATATACCCTCTACCTTGCTGTCAACTGCGGCGTGGGAGTATCGCTCACATTGTTGTATATTGTATATCACAGTGCTCATTTATTTTACATAGTAAAGATGAAGTGTCTCAGTGTGGGAGAAGGTAGTTAGTTACTGCAAATAGAACATGCGTATCTTGATTCCTTTGCTTCTTCCACATCCCAAAATCAATGACAACATAAGAGATGAAATGATGAAATCATGAATCAACTGGATCAAGAGAACGGTCCGTTTGAATTCCTTTCCCTGCTTTGTCCCTCACTATCTTACTTATCCGCGGATATAGCGATAAACGAGAAGAAAACAGGGGGGGGGGGGGGGGAGTTCTCAAAAACCACAAAAAGTAAAACAGAGGAAAACATGAATATAGCCCGGGTCCATTCCAGGCTCTCAAACAAATAGACAATCCAGCCAATTCAATCCTAAGTATATACATACCTAAACACGTCGCAGAGCTATCCCCATACACCACCCCACAAGCGCCTAGTTGTAAATGAAAAGACAGAGAAAGTACGTACTGTACAAAGGGAAAAGGCAAAAGGCAAAAAGGAATAACAGAATCCCACAATCGCAATCATCACACATGATACTGCAACATATTCTTCTTGATCTCCTCCACAATCTCCGCCGCCTCCACCGCACTCTTCGCCTCAAAGTCATATCTCTTCTGCTCACTCGCCGCGTTTCCCCTCAACACCACCACCCGGAAACTCTTCGGATGCCGCCGGCTAACCTTCGACCCCACAACGTCATTAAACGATATCGACGTCGTCTTGCTGTTCGATTCGAAGAGCGTCTTGCCCGTCTCCGCCGGCATGATATGCATGTAGTCCATGTCGAACGCGAGCACGCGCTGATTCGACGCCGTGAACGACATGGATTGCTTGCGGATGACGTTGTAGCGCCGGTAGTAGCCACCCAGGAGATCCTGGGTGTGCGCGAGCGGGTGCAGCATGCGACCGCCTCCCGTGCCACTGCCGCCCTTCTTGCCCTTCTTGGAACTGGCACTGTGAGAGGTCGTGTTTTCGACCATTAGGGGCGCGTTGGGTGAGACGCTGACTGGGGATCCGGTGATGGAGAGTGGGCCCGTGCCGAATCGGCGGCGGACAAGGTCCAGATCTGTGATACTGCCCAGGGCTTCTACGGTTCGGTCTAGTGGGGCAACGGTGTTGGAGCCCATGACTTTAAGGAGGTACTGGCCTTTGTCCAGGCCCCACTTCTTGCAGACGGAGTCTAAAATTTCGGCGATGTAGCTGTCTGTAGATGTGTTCATGGAGGTTGTTTGCGTTGCGGCTAGGTCAATGTATCTGACCTTCAATGTCTTGGTGACGCCCATTCTAGGTGTGGCGTATGACGTAGGTACAGCGGGGCGATCGGCTGGGGTGAGGGTGCTATCATTCAACGCGGATGAAAATGGCTGGCCTAGGATGGGGTTGATCCTTCCAAGCATCCTGTTTTTAGCGTTATCCTGATTGGCTTGTATTATCGGCAGAGTAATTTCCGGCTCATCGACATCATCAGCACTCGGCGTGGGATACTGTTTCTCATTCTCCGCGAATTCAGCTGCCGTCGCCTTCACAAGTGCAAATTCGTCATACGGCTTGCTCCTGGACCGTCCGCGCGCGGTAGGGGCGCGATTGTTGTTGGAAGTAAAATCAATGATGGGTCTACCTCTCGCTAGGCATGGGAAATCATAGTCAACTTCTCCGTCCTCAATCATCCGGAGATTCCACCGATTTACATTGAGCATTTCTCCTTCAAGTGGCGGCTTTCGGCGTTCTTCCATATATCTCCATAGGCCCAGCCCGATAGCTTGGGCAACGGTAACTGGACCAGGGTGATCTAAATCCTTCGATTCTCGTACAATTGGCACATCTAAAGGCTCATCTGGTTGGGAGGACGACGGAATAAAGAAATTGATGTATAGTGGAGTTGTGTTGGATCCTCTGCCTGATAGCGCAGCATATATCTCCAAAGGGTTGGCAGGCGCCTTCTTTCGTGCTCGGAGCGCTGTAGACAAAAGACTGATGGGTTCAACGGTGCTGATGGGCCGAGGCGGTGGAAGTACATTTAACTCCGGTGAAGTAGTCGTTTGTTTCTGTTTCCTGGGTGAACTACCCTGTGATTCGAGAGTCAATGGCAGTTTATCGGAGATCATTGGAGATGCCGAGTCTAACGATCCGACGCGATCCAGCAATGATCCCGATCCAGCAGTGCCCCCGAATTCAGAAGAAAGAACAGATCCTTCAGACTCGACAATTGAATCTTCATCGTGATCATTGATGGCGTCCTCGATGCTTCCTGCCTCTAGCTCATCTTCTTCATCCAGCTTTTCGCTTGGTGGCTTGTCATTTGGATTAATCACGTCCTCGTGGTTAGAAAAATGAATCTGCCGTCTCCTCACAGCGGGCCCGTATGCTTCGTTGTCTGATGACATATCGCTACTAGGGCCCGTATTTCTGCGTGCTCGAGCTTTTGCTGCTTCTACTGCACCAAGCGAACCCCTCCGGTACCGGTCATTGACGGACCTCAGTGAAGGCGATGTTACAAAAACATCAGGATTATCACGACGATCCAGGCTCCGTATTGGAGATGAACCAGCACGTGTTCGCCGGACCGGCATTTTGGTAAACTTGATTTGCTGTATAGACCTGAAAGCATAACGGTTAGCAGGATAACGATCATATGAACGAACCTGACAACGGTAACCATACCTGGGTTCTCGAACACCCTCAACCTCCTCATCACTCTCATCACTAAGATCACTACTATCATTGTCCTCAGCTTCACCCAGCCTGTGCTGCTGGTGGTGCGATCTGGAGACATCCAATCTCCTCCGTCCCTTCCTTCCTGCAGCCCGCTTGGGCTGTCGCTGCGTAATAGTGTTCACACTACCCTTCGGGCCCGTCACAATTCCACCCTCTTCATCCTCGCCATCATCCACCATCCCGAATTCAAGACCCACGGCTCCAGCAGCATCATTGTGCCCATCACTGCCACCATTTATATCGCCGAAGCCTTTATTCTGCCTTGCACTGACCTGGAAATACTCTGACGTAACGGCCGTTGCGGTGGGGATGGGAGGCGAGTAGGTGCGTTTGATATGTGAGGCATTGGCACCAGGGGCTGATGACCAGCCTGCAGCGCGGAAACTTGGAGTGTTGAGAATGGAGGAGTTGACGTTGATAAGGCGATCGCCGACGCCGTCTCTGATTGCGGAGAGGTAGGAGGTGCGGAGCTGCCAGATGGTAAAGCTAACGGCGAAGTGAGAGTTAGTTGGCCGGTATATTATAGCAATGGATAGGGTTAGTCGCGGTAACGGGACAGGTGCGCTTACTCTTCGTTTTGGAGGAGAGACATGGTTGGTACTGCTGAGGTGGCACTGATGCCGTTTGAGCAGAAGATGATAATGATGGTCTACATATACAGCTAGTATGAGAATCACTTGGGGCTATGAAAGCGAGTATGATGCAGAATGTACAAATTATTGACGTGATGGAGGGGATGCAGACCGTGGAGTGAACTTCAGGAGGGCGGATGTGCGAATTGGGGCTGGGGTTTCACGGGGGCCATATCTAGGTGGGGATGGGGAAATTGAAGGAATGTATGGCGAATTGGAAGAACGTCAGGACCAGCCCGACGAAGCGAAAGCGAATGAGGAACCTGAGAAGCTAAGTTTGCTGCAGACAATACGAACAGACGCCATCGCGAGTCGGAGGCGGAGGTTTGAAGGTCGGAGCGGGGCGATCCCGTGACTTGGGGTCGCATTACGTATCTATTACAAGGCCAAGGTATTTTTAGATAGGAGTCCTAAGCTTCCTATTACGGATTAGCGCCTGGGGTTGGCAACTACATACTACGGAGTTGTCTGTTTAAATTTTTGCTATCCATGAATTCTTTGCTTGACAATTAACATCACTTTATTTTGTAACTATGGTTGCAAGAATAGGCATGAGCTCTGTAAGTGTGTCTTCTGGTGATCTCACATTAAAAAAAAATGAAAATAAAAGTAAAATAAAAATTCCTGTGAAGAATGAGAAAGAGACTAACTATCATATCTTGAAATTAATGATAGCTTTTGAGATCTCTCCCCAAGCCGAGATCATCGCCATTCCTAAATACTAGGACCCTTCCATTCCAAATCCGCCAGCTTTCCAACGAAACAAGAGCTGCCATTGAGAAAGCAGTGGCATCTGCACCGGTTGTTTTGTTCATGAAAGGGACTCCAGAAACACCACAGTGCGGATTTTCAAGGGCGAGCATACAGATTCTTGGACTACAGGGGGTGGATCCAAGGAAGTTCACCGCATTCAATGTTTTGGAGGATGCAGAGCTGCGGCAAGGTGTGTGTCCCTCTCTCCCTGACATCTTCCTAGGCTGGAAGATGCTTGATCCAAATGAATAATTGTCAATGCAAATCGATTTAACAAAACCACCCCGTTCTATGTTTTAGGTATTAAGGAATATTCGGACTGGCCCACCATCCCACAGATGTACTTAAACAAGGAGTTTGTTGGTGGGTGTGATATCCTGATGTCCATGCATCAAAATGGAGAGTTGTCCAAACTCCTGGAGGAAAACGGGGTTCTTATCCCTGCCGAAGAAGACAATGAAGCGGATCAAAAATAAGAACCCCTAAAAAAAAAAAAAAAAAAAAAACCGATATGTTTCTATATGGAAAGGAAAGGATTCTTGATTCCAGCAGCATATTTTGTACAATATATACTTTCTTTTTCTAGTCTACTCACCTGAACGGTTCAGATTAGAGTCAACCGTGGAATATCAATTTGTATGTATGGATTAATTTTTCTTATTAAGAGTTACATGAATTTATTCCCTTTCAGAAAACACCGACCTGAAAAGCTGATCCCCTGCGCAGTCGGCAGTTCAGAGGACTATATATATATATATATGTCTATGGTATGCAGATAGATAGATGGGCAAGCAATTTGCGGCACAGGCTATGTATGGGATGGCTCGCTTCAACCATGTCAGCGCCCTTTTTAAACAGGGTTGGCCAGAGTATATATGTTATATTGACATTGTGGTTTCTTTCTTCTTTTACTACTATTGCAAAATGAATAATATGGCAAATAAGTAAGTATACATCCTCACCCTCAACCAAATAATATATATATATATATATATGTATGTATGTATGTAGCTGCATAGCATCGATAGAAGACAATCTGTTCTCAATCTGGATGAAAATTTGGATGAAAGCCCATTATTCCCATTGATCCCAATCACCGAGATCACGAAGGGGGTACACGGGGAAAGAAAGGGGAAAAGAAACAATCCAGAACAGTCAACATCAAAGGATGCAGGAGCAAAACGAAAAAAAGAAGAAAAAAAAGAAACGGGTAAAGGAGAGAATGAAGAAGAGAAGGAATGAATGAGCAATTACGATTTCCCCTTATCCCAAAACCACCGATACATACTCCTCCACTCCTCCGCCTCGTCCTCCACATACTCCCCGACCATCTCCGCCGTCGCGTTCGAATCCTCGTACACATTCTCCACCACCCTGCTCTTGGCCACCTCCACGCCATCCACTGTCTTCCCCGTAATGCCCGCATCCCGCCCACCGGCCATTCCCACCCCCTTGACAACAGATTCCTTCACATCACCCATCTTCCCTGCGGCTTTCTCCGCCAACCCGCCGACCCCTCCCCTTACCTCCTCCACAACCTCCTCTGTCCGCGCTTTCGCCCGCGCCAACAACTCCTCCGGCAACGGATACCGGCGCAGCATCACCAGCAGGAGATAATACGTACGCACCACGAGCCTGTAGACAGTGTCCTTCGCGAGCATGGCGATGCCGTGGCTGAAGAAGCCGCGGAGAACGTCCCCGCTCAGGCCTGCGTAGAGAGCAGCGAGGCCCTCGGTGCGAGCGATGGCGTAGATGGCGTGGAGGATGGTCGGGGGTGAGCGGGGAGCGGATGAAGACGTGGGCGCGGAGGTGGCGGCCTGTGCGCGCGTTTTGGCCATGGAGAACGGATAGGTGAGGGAGGAGGCGATGACCTTGCTGATGGCGGCGAAGAGGAACGTGGCTGATGCAGGTGGCCGTCTGCGCTTGTCGCGCGGGAGGAGGGAGAATTTGAAGACTTGGCTGAGGAGGAAGGTGAGGGCAGGGTTTAGAGAGAGGATGAGGGAGGCGGAGTAGCCGGCCCAGAGGCCCGCGAGGCCCTTTTGGGCGACGATGGCGGAGACGATATCTCTCGTTGAGGAGGTGGGTGATTTCTTCTCCTTCCCCACTGCTGCTGCTGTAGCTGACGCAAGGCCCTCAACCTGCTTCCTGGTCAACACCGTCGAAATCGGCATCGTCAGCAACTTGGTGAAGGCCTCCGCCACGTATCCCACAGCCAGCTCATCCAGCACCGGCAGAAAGCTACCATGCATCCGCAGCCCTCTCGCCCGCAACCGCCTCTGCCGCAAGAATGAATACGCAAGGAAAAACACAAACGAATCCACAACCGCCTTTCCAGTCGCATGCGTAAGCCCAGCGTATAACCCTCGCAGCCCACCCTCGTTCTCGTAAATCTTCCTCGCTGCGTCTATAATCCCCTTATACTCGCCTTCATCCACATCTTCATCTTCATCCTTGCTTTTCCCTTTCCCCTTTCCTTTCCCTTCCTCTTTCCGTCTCTCTTCCAACGCCCTCATACCCCTCAACTGCCTCTGCAACTGCAACCGCGTAACAATCAAACTCAACGGATACGTCGAGATTGTCGACACAGCCGCGCCTGCCGCACCAGCCACCGCCTGGCCAAGCGCTGGCAGCGCCGGGCCCCTCAGGACAGCGGATTTCCAATCCTCACTGTTCGGGCGGTAAGTAGTGGCGGCCGCTGCCGCTGCCGTATCGGGGTCGGGGTCATGGTAGATGTAGTAGAGCTGGAAGTTTTCCTATGCGGCGAAGTTTTTTTTGTTCCGGTGGAGGGATGAGTTAGACGCCCCTGAGCCATTTGATATAACATAATGATATTTTGTGGTTTTCTGGGGTATTTGAGGGAGGGAGGAGGGAAGGGAAGGGAAGGAGGGGGAGCCGTACAATTGAAACCTCGTAAGTGGGATCTTGATCATCCGGCATTTTCATTGATTGACTTGACTTATTGGTTTATTTATGTACCCTATGTAATTTTATTGTTTCTCTGCCCCCGCCGCTTTCTCCCTTTCTCCCGATTGGTAACCGTCTGAAGCGAAGGGTTCGGCCGAAACGAAATCAATTATATATATATATATATTCCCCCCCCACGGTCCCTCATGAGAGATCCAGCAGCCGGCCCCTCGCTATCTCCGTATAACCTCTGTAACCGCTTCTTCGATTTCTCCTCTCTTTGCTTGTCGGGTGGGGCCCATATGTATCAACCTAACTAACACAGTTCGATTGAAATAATGAATGCCACACTCGAGTTCGATACGGAGAGCAAGCAAAAACTGAAAGATCGGGACAATGAACCGACGGCACGAGGTGGGGATGGTGGTGAGAGAGCCAGCAGAGCGGAGCGGAGCAGAGCAGAGCAGAGTTGCTAGAAGTTGGCGCGTGGCTTGGTGGGGGGAATTGAATGGCTTCTTTGTCTTGGCAAGAGTTCAAGAACTTGTCCAACCTTGACCAGTGGATCAAATAGTTATACGATGTCTACGCTCCGAAGAGACAAAAACCTTTCCGTGGGGTGGTTGATGTCATGGAAGAGGAAATACTGAAATACTAGCAAACGGGTCTTTTCTTTTACGATCCATTTGCAGACCAAATGCTATTCCAGTGATGAGCCGCGTGTTGAAAGTGCACGATAATATGATACCAATTTTCAATTCAGTTCAATTCAGTTCAATTCCACTCAATTCAATTCCACCGCCCGTTCTCAAAGACAGACAGACAAAAGTAAATAAGACAATAATAAAATAAAAAATAATTAAAATTGTTCACATTTCCCCCGTAACCGATAATCCCAATGAATCCCAAAATTCCCTCCCACACCCATCTAGGGAAACGCGCAACTTGCAAGTCGTCGGAAACACAAACATAAATAAAAGAAAATTGAAAAGCGTCAAAACTTCAAAGTGAAAAAGTCGAGTTCGCACCCATGAACCAGCCCAGTCCAGCCCAGTCCAGTTCAGAGTCCACCCCCCGTTGTCCGTTGGTCCCACGATGATGGTAAGCATATATAACAAGAAGAATTCCTGCCCCGCCTCCATCAATCAACCCGTGAAAGACGCCCAGATTAATCAAAAACAAAGCAAAACAAACATAAAAAACACCAAAAGACTCTTTATTTTTTTCCTTTTTTTTTTTTTTTTATTTTATTTTTTTTTTTCCCTTTCTCCTTTCATCCGCCAAACCCGTAAAGCGTGCGACCCTGTCTCTTCAGCGCATACACGACATCCAGCGACGTGACGGTCTTCCGCTTCGCGTGCTCGGTGTACGTGACCGCGTCGCGAATGACGGATTCAAGGAAGGATTTCAGCACGCCGCGGGTTTCTTCGTAGATCACTGTATAATGGAACAGCGAGGTGGTTAGATAGGAGAAGAAAAAGGGTGGAAGGGGGAAAAGGGGAATAAACGCACTGGCAGAGATACGCTTGACACCGCCACGGCGGGCCAGACGACGGATGGCAGGCTTGGTGATGCCCTGGATGTTGTCGCGCAGGATCTTGCGGTGGCGTTTCGCGCCGCCCTTGCCCAGACCCTTGCCGCCTTTCCCACCTGTTGGGTTTGTGAATTGTGTTAGTGATGTGGTAGTGATGTGGGCTAGTGGTGCAACTTGTTCAATCAATGTCGGGTGTCGGAGTAGCATCATCGCCATTTTCGTTCTCGACGACGAGGGAGGGGGGAATTTGCCTCAAGCCATCACCACCACCAAGGCAGGTGTGGATCTAGGACCTGGCGGACGATGATTGATTTGATGCTTTGGCTTCATCCCGCCCCGCCATTTCACTGGCGTGAATAAAAATAGATGTTGATGGTAACAACCATGGCATATGAGTTGCGAGGATCATTGGATGTTGAAGTTGTAAGTTGTATTGGGTGTCCTTGTTCCTTGTCCTGCATGGGCGCCAAGACAGGACGGGCCAGATCCCCCTCCGCCAAGGTGTCAAGTCGACCGACGACGACGATACGAGGATGCGGACCAGGTTCAACCATCAGAGAAAAAGAAAATCACTTACGTCCAGTCATGATGTATCTACTTAAAAGAGGACGAAAAGAAAATCTTTCTTTAGAAAATAAAAAACTAAAAAAAAAAAAAAAGAAAAAGTGGAACCGTGGCGAAAATACGCGTCTCTTTTGTATGCAGGTAACGGTGCAAAGAGTAAAAGTAGAAGCGAAGCGAGTAATAAAAGGGGGGGAAAGAGAACTTCAAAAAACCCGCAGTGTGGGGTTGGGGGATGAGGGAGGTTTAAATAGTTTTCCACGCAAGAAAACCAAAAAAAAAATCAACCGATTAAAATGAGGAAAGGGAAAAGCAAAAAAAGGAAACAGGGACAATGACTAAGCCAGCCTCGGGTTGTTACCGACTAAGCAATGGGGTCAAGGTTGTTGCGAGTTCTCCCCAGCAAAATCGGCGCAGTGGACAGGTCGTTATGGCAGGCTGCTTTCCGGTGTGGTTTCGGGTGGGAAACCTTGCAGCAAACCACAGATTATGGACGGCGTTTTCAGCCCAGATTCTGCCGCGGGGGGTCTTGGCATGCACTCACCGACTTCCAGGCTTGGCGCGGGACTGGAACATAGTACTTACTTACTGCTGTGGCTTAAGAGCAGGAGTAAGAGGAGAATTACTATTATGTGAAGAAAGAAAGAGAGAGAGAGAAAACCCCTCCGAAAGAATCTGTAGTTGGTTTATTTTCAACATTTGAGAACATACGCCAACAAAATCCCATACCCATCATCTATCCTACTAGTATGATCGATTGGAGCGGAGATGATAGAGAAGACGAAAGAAAGCCACTTTGGAGAGGAACGACCTACTTCTTTTTTATCTTCTTTCTCTTCTTTTTCTTGTTTTTCTTTCAATTTTTTTCTTTTTTTTTTTTCAAAAAAATTCAATGATCAATGCGGATGTAGATTATGAAAAAAAAAAATGAAATGAAACATGAATACCGCCATCGCTGAACAGATTAATTGGGGCAAGGACATGAGAGAGACAGCTAGAAGGAAAACACGAAATCCACTTTTGGCCCGTTCCAATGACGCCTGACATGAAAAAGCACCCAACGAGGAGGAAGGGAAAAAACAACGAAGAAAACGCCCAATAAAATGCAGCCACAGCTCACTACCACGACAAAATTAGCGCCTGCCTGCATGTTAGGTTACAGTAGGGACAAATATGGAGGACAACCCCCTCCCCGAAAAAGCAGAATATGAAAAGCGAGGAAACGAAAAGCAGATAAATAAACAAATAGACCAACAAAAAGACTCACAAAATATTAGCACTTCGTCCCTACCCAAGTGAAACGTTGAGAACAGAAAGAGAGTTCGAAAATCATGCTTGATATCTCGGACGTCGAGAGCATGAAGAAAAAAAAAAAAAAAAAAAAAAAAAAATTCCAACATGACGCAAAAATTCAATGTGGAAAAAGTACCTCCAGAAACTCATGATCATTCACAGAAAAGAGAATACCCCCCCTTATCCGCATTTCATCATCGTTGCGGCTCGTATTAGCAGAACAAGGACTGTGAGAGATACATAAAAAAGACGCAAAACAGGAAAGGAAATGAAATCGAGAAGGCTATGATGAAACCATGAAAAACGTCAGCAAAATCACAAAACACAGGTCCTCTCCATATGTTCAGCGGCAAGACGTCGAATTTCCAAACGGTGTTAGAAACGTACCGAAGGGCCTGCTAATTCATGACAAAATAGCGCGGAAAGTTTCATAATTCGTTATGAGGGGGGGGGGGGGGAACAGAGAAGCGGCCAATTCCGTTACGTTACGTTACGTTTCGTTTCGTTTTCTGCTGTCTGATCCAATCCGGTCTAACTGGTCGTGACTCAAGATGGCGTCCAAGAAAAAGGTAAAGTAATTACCCCATTCTTCGTCACTATATGGGTGGCGTATAGCGGACCGGGGTTGATGTTGGGTCTATCCTCGAATAAAAGTTGGCGCAGGAGACCCAGATAGTGTCATCTGCATCAACTGGTGATATGGAAGGGTTAAGAATCCAGGAGGCGGGCTAGAAGGAGAAGAGCCTCGTTCTGTGGTTCCCCGGGATCGACTGGGTGATATATATCTTGGCGATCGTTGATAATCATTGTTTGGCTTCTCTGAGGATGCGTTCCGGGATGATACCGATGCTGGCGGTAGCGAAGATACTAAATCGCTCTTTGCACCGGAATGGGTATGAATTGTTGTCGCTCCGCCGTCTTGAGGGGCGTTGGCATGTGGTTTTCGCGAGAAATGTTTAGACGATTGTGAACCTGTTTTGGAGGATCCATACTTTTTGTTTTAGAGCGGTCAGTTTCAAAGTTTCCTAATCCATGGATGGTATTCTACGTGAGCTCTGGGAAACCTACGAAGCAGTACTTATCCACGAGCTCCTTGTACATAGGCGACTGATGGTAGGGCTGTCCCGAAGCAAGGTCGGAATGCCTCATCAGGCCGTGCGAGGATGTACGTGGTTGAGAAACTCCTGGAGGGGCTGCCGCGGAAGGCTCGAAGGGCTCACTCCTCACCGGCTTATCTTCAGTAATTGAGGCGGATAGATTTCTAGATATGGAGTTGGCGGGAAACGTTGTCATATCACGACGCATCTGACCAGCGCTTCCGGGCTGCATTGCGGCTGACAACGATGCTCCAAAATCGTAGCGGTGTCCAAACGTCTGAGGGGCAGTTGCGTTTCTTCGGAAAGGAGGTGGATCGGGGAAATCATCATCCTTCCGAGAAGAAGACAAGTTCACTGAAGAAATGTTGTGCTGCTGGCGATTTGGTCCTGAAGACGAAGTGGGAGGCTTGGACCTAGAGTCTGCAGGGAAAGGTGGCACGGATTTTGACCGCGTGATGGCTGGGCACGTGGGCTTACTCCGTGGAATAGCACCCGTTGGTCGAGAAGTGGAGGATCCTCTCCCGGGCTTGGACTCGTTTTGCACCTTGGGCTTTTTCATGAAGTCGATATGGTAATTCATCAGATTATTGTTGTCCCAGAACTCAAGGCCATTGACATTATAACGTATGCAGATAAACATCCGTTTGGATTCAAGATTCCCCACATCCCCCAAGTGGATAGTGAAGTTGAATGTGTCGTATTCGTCATTTGCTCGTTTACGACGAACATCATTGTTATACTCCGCAACAACTTCAGACGTTGTTTTCCAGTAGTCTAAGGTGAATCGTGCCACAACATGCTTCTGGAAGGAAATGTTGGCAACGGCAACGACGCCAACCAGATTCTTGTAATCGGAAGATAAGAATATCCGCTCCAATCGGACGGGCATTGTCTTTCTCTGTCTCGGGTCATCTGGGAAATTAGCTATCCTAGCCTCCCACTCAATGAGTTTTGATTGGCGTGGTCCATCATGATCCATAAATGGGAATTCACTATCACCATCGTAGTTCTCCACGGGGGAGGAACCTGCGCTCACGGCGAGGGGCTTGTCAAGCTGTAGGAAATGACGGATATGTTCCAACTGAGAGTCGAAATGGACTGCCTTTGAAAATACCGGTGTGCCTGGGGCACTACAGGGTCTTCTCTTCGGTCGAAGAGCAGGCCTTACCAGTTCCCCGGACTTCTTTCGCACCATAGACGGCTTCGTATTGAGATCCATTTCATCCTCGCCCCGGTCACTATCCTCAGGGGTATGGGTCACTACTTCCGAGGAATTGGGATGGGGCACACCTAATTCGTCTTTCTGCAAGCGAGATTGCGTCTCCGTAGCTAACGCTTTTGATAGATCCAATGGTGATGGAGTGTGTTTTGAAGTTAAAGTAGCATTGGAGCCAAGTCCTTTTCTGGAAGGGCCTTGACCTTGAATGGAGTTCTGATCAAGCGACATTATTGCTGCCTTGAGATCCTCCGGGCTATTTCTCTTTGGCCCTTCTGTAGCTCTCCCTTCATCATCACTGGAATTTGATTTGGAGTCGGGGGGTGAGATCATAGCCCCTGTCAGGATCATCGCACCTGATGGAGATTTCCATGATGCTGCAGCGGGGGTGGTATTCGACGACGAACTACTCCTCCTGTGCGAGTTTGGGTCTATGCTTAATTGCCCCAGGTTCGACGTTTGTTGGGGATTGGATGTGCTTCGTCGATGACGATAGATGTAGGAGCTCGACTTTTGCAACGGTGGACCGCAGGAATGTCCCGCAAGACTCACAGATGGCTCAGATTTGTGTCGCCCATGACAGACATTGGGTGGTGAAGAGCCAGCGGAAGCCGGCTGAGGACGTATTCGCGAATTGAACAAGGGAGATGGTGCAATGTAGGGCATCCGGCCGACTCGTTATATCACAAGTTGGCACTGAAGCAACACTATCTCAATGGAGACATCCACTGCTTGCTTGGTGCTGAGAGCGGTTTTTGACTTGAGACGCAGGCTTTGTGTTATAGGGTGTAAGTAGAAAACAAAGCTCAGACGATCTGGGGTGCTAGGTCAGCTGGTGCACGGAGGAAATCAGAGCAATATAAATCGATTGGATGAGAGGGCACGGACTAAAACAGATACCAACAGTGGCAAAATCAGAAGAGGATCTATGATGCCCAGTCAAGAGGTAGGTGGATAGAGCATCTATATCAGGGAAAGACAATGAGACAAAATTAAACCTTCATGGTGGGGGTTGTGAATGCGAGAGAGATAAGTATATCCTTCCAGCAGGGAAAGGAGCACGACAAAATAAAAGGGAAGAGAGATTCCCGTTCCGCTAAATATGGACTGGCGGAGGATGTGAAGGTTCCTGGGGATAACCTCCTCCGAGGGACTGCACGAGTTTGCCATGCTCCATGGGCTTGGTTGTTGCAGGGAGAGGCAGGGATATGACGCCAACTCTCGGAGAAGCCAAGCCAGAGGAAGCGTTTATTCCAGGCAATCGAGCAATCTAGAGCTTCTGATATGGGGAGAAGATTGCTCTCTGCTGCAGCACTGAGCGGGAATATGCTTAAACGAGGGGTTATCAAGCAAGAGCACAAAAAACGACGGGGTCTCAACCAGCATGAAAGGATGGGCTGAACCAAAGTGGATATATCAAAAGAATGAAAAGAGGTGGAATTACCTTGTGGATTCCCAAGCTACCCAGCTCTATGCAAATACGATAGACTGGAGGAGATGGCAGAGGAAACGGAGGGGCAGAAGAGTAGACAGAACGAGAAATGAGAGAAATTATAAAGAAGTAAGCAAGGAAACGAGAAAACAAGAAACTTGACAGACAAAAAGGAATAAAGCAAACAGAACACCAACTCAAGGCGATGATAACGGGCTTTGGGGATGAGCAATTGAAGGAGAGAAGAGAGGAGGAAGATGAGGATGAAGATGAGGATGAAGATGAGGATGAAGATGAGGATGAAGATGAAGCCGCAGACGAGGACGAGGAGGGGGAGGGGGGAATGGCAAGGAGGAATAAGAGAGAGAGAAAAGGCTGCTGCCGCTGCTGCTGCTGCTGCTGCTGCTGCTGCCGCATGCCGGCCCACCAAGCTCTGGCCGCGGGCAGGGAAGGGCAGGGAAGCTGGCCTGGTGGTGGTGGTGGCGGACTGGGCGGAACAGCAAGGAGCGAGCGGGTTTCGGTCCAGCCCTCGCTAGCCACCGCTTCCTCCACGGATAGAGTTCACGCAGAGGACAGAGAGGATGAAGGACGAGGACGGCGGCGGCTTGCTGCTTGTACCGGTACATGGGACGAAGCAGCGCGGGACGGAGGCTGTAGCTACGGTCATCGCATTGTCTGATTCTGCCTGTGCATGAAATATTCGACAATCCCCGACGTCTACGAGAAAGCTATCGCCGTATCATTCATTCCTGATTTATCACGTTGCGGATTTCTAGAAAAGTCTTTCCCCCCCAGCTAGCCTTTTGACAGGGCTGCAACCTTTTGCGTTGCTAACCTACCAAAAATGAGATATATCCATCCTTTACCTGATATTTTGAAAACAAAACCTCTCTTATATTGGATAATCAACCTTTAGTCACGATATATGTACGATGTAGCAATAGCAATGAATTCGTCCAATCCCCCAAAACCATCCCTCAGCGCCTGCATGCATCTTATCATGCTTCTCTGCATGAGTGGATCACCCACAACCATGCACGAATGGCGAAATGCAAGGAGCCCTTGCAAAAATAAGAAAAAAAGAAAAAAAATCCGTTCCAGCACCCACCCGCACACACCCCTCCAGGGAAACGAACGCCGCCAAGGCCATTATCTTTTTATTCCTGGGAGATTCTGGACCTGAGGCCTGTCCTGAGATAGAACTGAGGAAGATTCAAGACACGCACAGCGAGCCCCACAGCGGGCAGAGCATGGGAAGGGGAGGGGGCAGGGGAGAGGGGCCCCCAGAGGGCAGAGAGAGGAATCAGCGATGAAAAATATTAATAGCAATAGTCGATAAAATGTGGATCCCATTCGAGGGAGGCTTTCTCCATCGCAGCTTATCCCTAGTTTCAACAGGTTTTGTTGAGGGTTTAACTTAGTTCTAACTTCCAGTACAGTACCTATACCTGTCCCCTGTCCTTCCTTGGGGAAGACTTCTGGTTAAAACGATGATACTACTACCTGCACAGCCCAGAAGCAACATTGGTAATCAGAAAAGTAAGAATAACTCAAAGAAAAATTTTCTGTAGTGTCGTTAGTCGAGGGGCAAAAAAAAAAAAAAAAAAAAAAAAAAAAACAAATCACACACACACACACAAAAAGTTCCAAAGACCATCGGCTGTTCAGCGATAACGGGCCGATAAGAAAGGGCGAAGGCCAAGCTACGGGCGAATCAAAACTCAGCGGGCCCTCACGATGAAACTCGACGAAGCAAAAAACAAACAGGTTGGGCAAAGCTCCAAGGAACTTGGGGAGCTGGGATGATAAGAAGCGTCCTCCGTAGTTCTGGAGCAGATTCCTATCGTGACCATAGGCCGAGATTGCAACATCCTGGGAAAAACTATATCTCCTCGTAACTCCGTAGTTAACGAATAAATCATCTACTCCCCGTACTGTGGAAATTGTCACTGGTCAGCCAAACAACAATCGTTAAGAAGGTCGGATTAGTTTAGATGTCGTCTATGAAAGCTCTAGTTTTTGTTTTTGTTTTTGTGTCCTTGTGTGTATTTTCTTTTTTTCTGCGCTTGTCTTATCTTCGCCACTCAACGGAAAAAAGAAAAGAGGGCCAAAACGAGGAAAAAGCAAAAAGCAAAAGCAAAAACAGAAAAGAAAAAGAAAAATCTCCTTCATTGTCATCATTTCTCTTGATTGTCGATCCCGTCAGATGAAAGAATTCTTCTCTGCGGATCGAGTAAAGAATGACAAGAATGGCAAAAATAATGCCGGGTCCATAATGATTAATTAAAAGTCAGTGTCCTTTACAGTCATCGTGCTTTATTCTCTCTCTCTCAGCGATTTATTTCTCCGTCACAGCTGCAGGAATGGAAACCTGGTTTTTGGAACTCTGTCCGCATCATGTACAGTACACAGGACACTCAGCCTATTGAATTAGGTACCAGTAACTCGTGTTGAGAAAGGAACCTCCCAGGATTCAAGGCACAGACGTTTTTTTACACTATATGTTTTCCTTGCAAAAGAAAAAGAAGAAACATCTCCCTTTCAATTCTCCAGTCTAACCATCATTCCACCTTATTCAGCTCCGTTTTGTATGTGCTATTCTTCATCAGAGAGGCAGACCCAGCAACCTGTGTGTGTCTTATGTACTGTATGTATGTACGTCGGCCTATCTCTTAGCGACAAGCAGCTAAAAACCAAAACCCACCAAACAGGCCCCACCTGAACCCGTTCTGGCCCAGCAACATCATCGCCTTCTTATGGGTGATCCTGATTACTAGCATTCATTGCCACGGACTCTCCCACCAGGGATAGCAAACTCTGCTCCACCATGTCGACGCAAGATGCTGGTCTGATCGCCGGGGTGGTTATTAGGGCCCAGGCATGCCAGGTCCCCAGCAGAGGCTGGAAGGGGGACGGAACCTGATGGATGCGAATGAGGTGATTGTTTTTGGGACAATTGGGGTGACAAGGTTTCTCTGATGCTTTCTTAAAAGCTATGCTCTTTTTGCTGCTGGAGGGGAGAATTGTGCTCATCCTTTGCTGACAAGTTGATTTTAGGAATTTTTTTTTTTT